GAAACCAGCTGAGTGATTTTTACTGGGTTTCCAAGCCCCTGCTTCCAGAATCTCAGCCTCCTTGTGCATAAAATGTGAGAGATGAACTAACACCCCGACATCCCTCCCACATTTAGCAGCCCAAGAATCTAAATATCTCAAAGTTGCCTCTGTTGACTATATTTTCTTCCATGTGTTCTGTGCATTGTACATTTTATATTTCCTCTTCAACATATATTGAGAATATTTTCTACACTAGCATAGCCATAAATATAAAAAAGGTACACATTAATATTTGTGTTAATTAGCCTGCAAGCTTCTCTAGAAAGCTCTCCTGAAAGGTCAGTTATTTTTATGGACATTATTGTATGGTTTTTCTCTTTTCTCTCAGCTGGTTTGCAGAGTTCTAAAAATTTTTCAAGATATGCTTTTCTCTCCTATTTACTCTCTTTAAAAAAATTTTTTTTTGGTAGTTGTAGGTGGACATAATGGCTTTATTTATTTTTATGTGGTGCTAAGGATTGAACCCAGTACCTCATACATGCTAGGTAAGTGCTCTGCCACTGAGTTATAGCCCCAGCCCTTATTTACCCTCTTAAGAATGAATTTTGAAACATCCCACTCCTCTTCCTACTACCAGAAACTCTGTAAGACATCTATTTTGCAAATGAGGCCAGATTAACTCTCACTGACATTACAACAGCTGTTTTAGGACCAGAAGCCTTAACCTGAAGGTGAAGAAATCCCCTCCCCATGTGCTTACCTGAACCCTAGGGCTGCGGGCTGGACCCAGGTGCTGTGCAAATCAGGAATCCAGGGCAAACTAAGGAAAATCACATCTTCCTGCCATACAGTTCCCTAGAGGACATAACTGCAAAATAGCAGGAAGGGGAGGGGATGGAGGAAGGCACAAGATGTCTTGGAAGAGCTTCAAAATTCACGGCAAGGCTTGAGTTAGGTAGCTTTAGCTACTAGCACTCGTTAGTGTAGAAAACTCCCTCCTCCCACCATTTTAATAAAACAAGGTGTTCCTCCACATGGAATCCGAAGGAAGGAATCTCCATGGCAGGTTTCTTTCCTTAAAATGATGTTCAGGCTTTTCCTAAGCAACTTCTTAGTGGACCTAAGGTCCATTGTGAATCAACAGGACAAGAATTAAGACTGTAACAGTGACCAGGTCTCAGCTGGATCCTGAACCAGGACTACTATGGTCAAATTTCTTTGTAATTCCTTTTGCTGTTAGGTCTTTGGGTAGCTAAGGATTCAGAGTTCATTGCCTTCATACATGCTTCTCTACCTGCAGCTGAGAAAAACATGGTGTGACCGTTTCTTCAATGTCTTGCCGTTTGACTCTTCATTTTTCCTAAGTCTTCCCATTAACATTTATCTAAAACAGTTTCAGGAGGACAAAATTCCCCAAGACTGTTTCTGGGAGGTGCAGGAGGCTTGAATGCAGAGGCCACGTTGGGGGATGTATGCCAGTGAGGACAAGCCTCACTTTATAGGGGCTTGCAACATCCCAACCCTCCTCTCCAAATGATTCCATTCCTCATCAGTACAGCAAACCAACATAAGGTCCCAGGGGATGGAACTGGATTTGCAGGTATACATTACCTGACTTGGCTTCTTGGCCACCCGACGGCTTACACTCATCTCTTAACCGCTACACCCAGATACTTGATGTCCCTTCATGTGGTGGGCTCCAAACAGCAATGTCTAGCTGCCAAAGGGATCCTCTGGCCACTCAAGACTTCAGGGCTGTGTGTGGCCCACCCTGCTCTGATTCCTACATTCCCCAACTTATTTCCAGCCTGACCTCTCTCCTGAGATCCATGCTACATTTGCTGACTGGATAAGCCAGATGGTCAGCAATGCAAGGACGAGTCTCCCGGTCCCACTACCAAGCCACTCTTCAGTCTCCGTATATGGCACTCTCCCTCACTCATCACATCAGGCTTRACCAGAGTCCTTCCATCTTTCCTATGAGATCCGACAGGGCCACCAAGTAGCCTGCACATCCACCTCCTGCTCTCCTGCCTTGTTCTTATGCCTGAGCAACTGTCTCCCATGAAATCCCTCTGCCTCTGGTTTAACATCTGCCCTTTTCACTGCAACCCAGCCAACTCCTATATAGGACATCTTTGCCACAACCTCCCTTAAACTGTGTGATCACATTAGGAAATCACAAGTGCCACCATGGGCCACAGGGCCTTGGCCATCCAACTTCAGCTTACCATTCTGGTCACACCGAGACCATGGTCTCAGCTCCATTTCTGCTCCTGTCTGACATGGTTAACCCAGGGGAGCTCACACCCTTTTCCCCACCAGTGTGTGATGCCCCTCGCAAGATACTCACCTTGGAAGAGGACTCCGCTGTCATGGCTGAGTAACAGCTATGCAGCTCTGGTGTTGCTTAGTTCCCGCTGTTTGGTCACACCTATTTATGCTCCCCTTTGACCCCACAAGCTCCTTCGGAAGATTCACACATTCCAGCTCCCCAGTGCATAGAGCAGGCAGCTAATACATGTGAATTCATGCCACTGTCCTTCAATTATTTCCATTCCTATATATGGTACCATTGTAGACCACCCTGCTTCCCACCCACCCACAGCCTTCCCTCAGCCCAACCCAAGGAGGGGCCAGCAGCTCACTCTGAAGTAGGTGGACCTAGGAGTAAACAACCAGCAAGAAGCACTTGGCAGCTTTCTTAGGAACCCTTTTCTGATTAGTCACAGCAAACAATGGGCTATTTACTTGGTTTTTCTGAGCTGTTAATTAGATAAGGAAATTCGTATCCACCCCACATTCAAAGGGTTATCCTGGGACCCCAGGTCACCTCCTARTGGAGGGATCTTGCCTTGTAGCTGTTGCAAGGGGGAACACTTGGGTCACCCATACTCCATCCCTTGAAAAAGCTGCTACAACAAACCAGGACTTCCAGGCTGGGAGCGCAGCTTGCGAAGAGCATGCGGGAGGCCTTGGGTGCAGCTCCCAAAACCAAAAAGCAAAAGCCAACTAGGACTTCCTATTTCCAATTCTGCTTACATCAGTCTGATTCCATTAGTTTGTGGGTTTTTCAGTCAAGTGGCCCCTCGTGGTTCCCCTCAGAGCCTTCTTTCTCTTACACCTCTCCAGAGGTTTGATCTGATTGATTAATGAGTTGTTGCTAGAAGAAACGAGGACAGAAAAGGGTCTTCCCATCTCAGACTCCTGGCATTCATGGCCTCTTTCTCCTTTTTAAACAGAGCATCATCTTATTTTACTACTCAAATGAATTACTAAGACCAGTTTGGGAAATTAATTTTAATATACAGATACAAAACAACAAATATAGATTCACAGCATTTACAATAAATCATTCAAATAACATTGTAAATAATTTTTTTCTTTTACAAAAAGAATTTCAACAAAAATACATATCAAGTTACAGTATTCTTGTAGACCAGACTTTAGCTGTCAAAGCTAATCCACCAGTTTGGAAGCATCACTGACTTATACAGACAACATCATCTTTATATGGATGAGTTAAAAATTACCAAAGCCTTGCAAAGTGGGTAAGCAAGTCATACACAATGGGTTCTATTATGTACAAAAAGACTAATTATTAAATTACAGAGTTGGTTTAAAGTATTTTCTAAATACAAATGTCAATGTCAATGTGATAACTAAAAGCAGTAATAAAAAGTATGTTCTACTAGGTAAATTTACATGAAACATTTAAACTTCTGTTTCTTTTTTTTTAATCCTTCCAAGACCAGCTAAAATTTTCCACTTTTTTCCAAAATTTTTTGTACTCCATTTGCATTACATCCTGAAAATAAACAAGATTAGCAAGAATAGTTGCTAATAGTTAGGTGAAGCATATTACAGGGAAAACTTTGCTAGCAGTTTAATCTATAAGTTGGGTCCAACATCCCAGGTCTGTAAGCCATTCATTGAAAGGATGTTTATTCACACTTGTTGGCACTGTCCTTTTACATACACTTCACTGGTTTTCCTCTCCTTCATGCAAGAATAATGCAGTAATACTCCCCCAGCTCTGGGCAATCAGGCTCTTCTATTCTGACTAGGAAAGTAGGTTGATTTGTATTCAGGAATATCAGCAATTTAGGCATGCAGAGATTGCTACCTGGCCAGATGCTGAATCACCTGGTTTTTACAAAAGATTTCGATTGTGAAGTAAATTTTGAAATAAAACACTTTTGCTATACAATAACATCACAGGATGTGGCATTAGTCTTCAAATAGATTAGGTATAAAAGGGTACAGTATTTGGATATGGCATTGATGGTGGTGATATGTTTTCAATAACAAAATCACATCTGCCAACCGGAGACAAAACCCAGATTTACTGAAAACAAACCATGCACACAGTATCCCTTGACAGTGCTGGCAAACTGCTTGTTACCCTCTTCCTTGTTAGCAGGCCAAAGACAATGAATGTTCCTTCTCTAGGACTTTTCAAATATTGTTTAGAATGGCTTACAATTCACTGCAGGGTTCTCATCCATTTAGGTATATCAAAACTGAGAAAGCTGCTCACGGCCATTTCAACTGTCTTTCACAGAGTTAGCAAATTGTGATGCACTAATGAAATTCATCCAAATGTTGTCAACCAGTGAAGTCATTGAAGCCTGACTCTTTTAAAAGAAATTTAAATTTATTTTTTAAACTGGTACATAAAATCATAAAAATTGTACATATTTATAAGGCCAAAAAATAAAAAGGCCCACCCAGGGTTGGGGGTGGAGAAGATAGATTGGGCAGTGGGTGGAGGTGGGGTTTCCCAGTAAAATCCACACAGGCAGGGACTTTTTGTTGCCTCTTTTTCTCTCTCCAAGTAGAACATGACTTAAATCAAAAAGGAAGTATGGCAAGCTGAAAACAAGAATACCTGAGGCCTTCTGTTCTTTTAGTAATAAAACCCAAGCTAGACAGATTTTAAGAAGTCAAAGGATGTTCTAGCCTTTAAAAAAAAAAAAAAAAATATATATATATATATATATATATAATTAGCAGTTTTCAAAATCACCTCAGAATCCAAGTAGAATCCACCCAGGCCAGGTATATAATCAAATGACATCATCAAATGACCATCACGCTTTATAAAACTGATTCTCACAATCCCAGGTCTTGAACTGACCTTGACTTAATCAAAACATGTCCTGGTGTTCAGGATTCTCTGTTAGGGAGTCCATGGAGGTAGATGGGAACTGGAAGTTAGGACTCAGCTGGGAAACATGTTAGGACTGATCACAAAACCTTAAAGCCTTTGCTCACTGCCAATTGGTCAATACTAGCAAATGGAAGCCCTCTGACTCCTCACTCGAATGAATCCTCACTGAAAAAATGTAACATAAGTAAATGATATTTTTACTACCTTAAAGCAATTCTCTTATATTACATTAAAAACAACAAAAACCTGTTCAAAATTGCTGTACATACAAACAACTCTATTTAGCGCAGAAAAGTAGTTTTCAAAATATATCATTACATTTTGTTAGTAAAAATGTCATTTATATAAAATGCAACTGAGGTTGAAACAGTTATTCATGGACACACACATATACACACAACCAATGCATGAAGCCATAGCACCTCTTCTGTCAAGGGACCTGTGGTGAGAAAGAAGCAACCCTGAGGCTGTAAACCACAGGGCAAGGCAAACTCTCAGCAAGCCAATGTAAGCAGGCATTTAAATAGTCACAAAATGCCCTAAGGGCCCAGCAGAGAGGTCCAGAGTTATGTTTTCTTGATGCATGAATAACTCTGCATATGGCAAGGCAGGGGAGAAGGGAGGAACTACATCCTTAAAATTAACATCTTCCTCTTTAACTTTGTAGACTTGTTTATTCTCAAGCTTGGGTCTGTGGGGGAAGAAACTTTGCAAGAATAGCATACAAAAAATGAGCTTCTCAAACAGAAATCCACAAACTATGTGACACAATATCCTCTAGTTAGCACAGAGTGCAGAGCCTGTCTTCTCCAGACTATTTAAAAGTTACTTTCATCATACTTCTCAGTATAAGCAAAGAAAAGGAGATTATTATCTGCAGGCATCAGCCTGTGTGGCCTCCATTAAAAAGAGACTCCTATCTTTGAGCCTAGATATTTTACTAAGGTGTCTTTCACAGGCAGTGAATCTCCACCGTTCTGAGTTTATAGGACAAAGGCAGCTTTAAACCCCAGAGAAGCAGGATTGATCTGCCCTGTGTTTTCTTCATGGGTTCTTCCGAGTTGCAATTTTACTGATGAAGACATTGGAGACAATTGTTGGAAGATGCGCAGGATGTTTTTAAGAATGCTTTCCAACTGGTGCATTCTCATGTCATTAAAAAATTAAAGTAAATGAGCTTTTATATCGCAAACAGTTGTTCGAATGCTGTTTCTTGGTTAGGATGAATAAGTGAGATGTGATTTCTGCTCATGGCGTTACACAAGGCACACAGGCAGGTGAGGATCCGACTTGCCAAGGACAAACAAGCTGGCCTTGAAAGTAGCATGACCTGGAGGATGCCTCAGTGCCCCCACATCTCAAGCTGTGCTGCCAGGAGATGGATGTAATTTTCCTGACTAGCTTAAAGAAGAGGCACCTTGCAAGATGAAGCCTGCATTTGGCAACTGTGTAGACACAGGTGACACCAGGGAACACCCTGGTCATCTCCAAGCAGCTGTTGATCCCCTAATACTACCAGAGGGAGTAAAAGCTCACCTTCTAAGTGTGACCAGACACATGGTAGGGAGAGGCAGCACTATAGCTACTCCCCATCGTTGATTCCCTTCAAAATCAAATGCAGACTGAATCCTCTAATTGAGTCATTTCCTTAGCACTGAACAGCTCTCGGTGCTCTGGAACCGCAGGAGTGTTCCCCTCTCTAGTGGGGCTGTGGAGCTACCACAGCAGCATTCCTGTAGAACTTGACCCTGGTTCCAAAGTCCCACCACCTCAGAGTGCTCCTTGGGGCTTGTCATGCAGGGCAGAGCTATGTGTCATGACCTTCTCCTCCTTTCCACGAAAGCAGCAGGATCTCTGAAGTGAAGGTGAGTCCAAATCCTTCCTTGAACCCCCAAAGAAGTTTTCAACACTGGGCCCAAGAAACTTTCCCTGGGTTTCACACAAAAGAAATGAACATGGTTCTCCTCTTCACAGTCCCTCGGGGGAAGTATGGGCCTGCTGCTCACTTCCTGAAAGGGGCGAGTTTATGGAAGGTATGCCAGAAGAGGGAAGGCTTTCTCTTGGGTTCCGCCAGGGCAAACACCTGTTGCTGGGGGATGCTGGTAGGCACGGTGATGTGGCGCTGGTGGAGGGGATGCAGGTTCTGGTGTGGCGGGGCAACAGGGCATCCGCTATAGTCTAACTCCGGGGGGGGGGGGGGGGGGGGGGGGGGGGGGAGGCGAGGGGGAGGAAGATAGAACATTGATTGAGAGTCACTCAAGAGAACCACAAGGAAAAAGAAAAATGTCAAGACTCAAAGATCTTAGCTAATTTTAAACATTAACCAAAAGAATACTGAATAGCTATCCTCACAAATGGTACATTCAAATACCACGTGGGAAGCCTGGCATAGATTATCTCATTTAATCCTCTTAATACCATCCAGTTTCCAGGAATTGAAACCCAGAGAAGTTATGTAAATCACCTATGGTCACACAGCAGTAAGTTAAAAGAATTAGAACTGGGCTGCCAGTTGGGTTGGAAAGCAAAAACATGCTTTAAATGAAAACCTGAAGCTCATCTCGCCTCAGCTAAAAGCCTATTCTGCCACCACTAGTTGCAGTTATTTGCAGGCAAGTGTTTGACTTCTCTGTGCCTCAGTTCCCTAATTTCTTTTTTTTTTTTAATTAGCTACACATGACATTACAATGACCTTGGCAGTTCATACATTTGAATCAGTTGGGGTATAACTTCTCATTTTTCTGATTGTACAGATTGCAGAATCACATTGGTCATACAGTCCCCTATATACATACAGCAATCATAATGTCTATTCTATAGTTCCCTAATTTCTAAAAAGGGGCAACAGTACCAGATTGTTATAAAGAATAAAATGAGTCAATATAGGTAAAATGTTTCAAAGAGGGATACCCAGCCACTTGAACCCTGCTTCATCAGGGTATTTCATATCTGTACAGAGGTCATTAAAAGGCTTATTAAAATTAACTAAAAGATCAAAGGTAAGAATGTAAGTCAACCTAACATGATGAAAGAGAGGGCTTCAGAAGCTGACTGGTTCAGAATCCACTCCTGCCCCAGCTTGTCACAGGGCTTTCCTTATCTTAAGGGAGATGGGGAGGATGGAAGAAGAACTCAGGAGAAGTGCCCAATATGGTCATCTCACTCAAAAATGTCACTGCTCCTTTCAGTCTTTGGAAACCTAGCTGCTCCGAGAATGACCTGTAGAACATCCAGAGAGAGACTAACATATTCTAACCAAGTCATATCTTCTAGTTACCTGCCACTAGGAGAGATACAAAAAATAAAATGGATTTTCTGCCTTGAAGATACTCCGTGGGGAAAAATGTGCACAGAGAAAGTAGGGGAGTGCTAAGTGTCATTTGGTAATCTTAGCCAATTAATTGAGGGCCTATCAGATCGCTGAATTTAACTGATCTTGCTTTTGTCTTCTCAAGTATGAAAATACTGAATGGCTGGGCATGGTGGCACACATCTATAATCCCAGCAGCTCAAGAGGCTGAGGCGGGGGGGTTGCAAATTTGAGGCCAACCTCAGCAACTTAGCAAGGACCTAACAATTTAGTGAAACCCTGCCTCAAAAAAATAAAAAAGGGCTGGGCGCCATGGCACATGCCTGTAATCCCAGTGGCTGGGGAAGCTGAGGTTGAGGATCTGAAGAGGATCCCGAGTTCAAAGCCAACCTCAGCAATGGCGAGGCACTAAGCAACTCAGCGAGACCCTATCTCTAAATAAAATACAAAACAGGGCTGGGGATATGGCTCAGTAGTGGAGTGCTCTTGAGTTCAATGACCGGTACCAAAAAATAAAAATAAAAAAGGGCTAGGGATATGGCCCAGTTGCAAAGTACCCCTGGTTAAATCCTCAGTACTTAAAAAAATAAATTTAAAAAATTAATGGAAAATATTGGGTTAGATCACCTGTATCATCTGCATTATGGAATAATCTGTGTGTGTGCATCAGGACCCAGGTGTGTGGTCTGGTGTGGATGTCCTCATGTCCCTGCCAGGCAATTCTAATGTGCATTACATGAAGGGGCTCACACTGAATAAACTCCACTCACTCTTTTATGTTTAAATCACTGATGCTCTGAATGTACAGATTTCTTCCTTGTGCCCAGAGAGGAAAGAGTCTCTTGTGACCTGGTGGGTAACAGCATCTTTCTCTGAAGGGTACAAGGAATTATGAGGTCTGCAGCCCTCAGGTACCAGCTCAGATTTGCTGCACCCACATTCAAAATCAACTGCAGCCAAGCACAGTGGTGCACACCTGTAATCCCAGCCACTGAGAGTATGAGGTAGGAAGATCACAGGTTCAAGGCCAGCCTTAGTAACTTAGTGAGGTCCTGAGCAACTTAATGAGACCCTGTCTCAAATAAAACATTAAAAGGGCTTGGGATGCAACATCTCTAGCAATTAGAGAAATACAAATTAAACTACCCTGGGATTTCACCTCTCTCCAATCAGAATGGCAATTATCAAGAATACAAGTAATAATAAATGTTGGTGAGGATGTGGAGAAAAGAGTACACTAAGACATTGCTGGTGGGACTGCAGATTGGTGTAACCATTCTGAAAAGCAGTATGGAGATTCCTCAAAAAACTCGGAATGGAACCACCATTTGACCCAGTTATACCACTCCTTGGTATATATCCAAAGAACTTAAAATCAGCATACTGCAGTGATGCAACAATATCAATGTTTATAGCAGCTCAATTCACAATCACTAAGCTATAGAACCAACCTAGATGCCCAACAACAAATGAATGGATAAAGAAAATTTGGTGTGTGTGTGTGTGTGTGTGTGTATATGCCATATTACTCAGTCATAAAGAATATGACAATATGACATTTGCCAGTATATGAATGGGACTAGAGACTATCATATTAAGTGAAATACACAATCCCACAAAATGGGGGGTTGGGGGGCTAGAAGTTCATTGGATTAGACAAAGGAATGAAGGGAAGGGAGAGGGGATAAGAATAGGAAAGATAGCAGAATGAACTGGACACAACTTTCCTATGTTCATATATGAATAGTACCACAGTGAATCTCAACATCATGTATAGCTATAAAACTGGGATCCTAATAAGATTATATTCCATGTTTGTATAAATTTATCAAAATAGTTTCTACTGTCATATGTAATTAAAAAGAACAAATAGAAATTTTTAAAATGCTGGGTGCAGTGGCATACACCTATAATACCAGTAGCTCAGGAGGCTGAGGCAGGAGGATCATGAGTTGAAAGCCAACTTCAGCAAAAGCGAGGCACTAAGCAACTCAATGAGACCCTGTCTCTAAATAAAATACAAAATAAGGCTGCGGATGTGGCTCAGTGGTAGAGTGCCCCTGAGTTCAATCCCTAGTATCAAAGGGGACGGGGTGCAGAGAAGTGCTCACTGGTAAAGTACCTCCAGATTTTTAAACAACAACCAAGCAAAACAAAAAACCAAAATCGAAACAACATAAACCAAATACAGACCATCTCCAATTGACCATTACTTGGGTCTGTCCCTTTGASAGAAGTTAATAACTGCCCCCTCTTCTCTCATTCTGATACTAATGCACATTCAGGAGATCAACCCTTCTTCAAGCCTTACCTTTTGACTTTCCTTGTCCTGCCTTCTGAGCATTTAACATGGCGAGTTTCTTTTGATTTTCTGAAATTTCCATTCCTGTATTAAGAAACAAATATGATCTATATTCAAAACGCGATGTTTCAGAGCAACACCTGTACCACAATCTGAAGCAAAATCAAGGGTAGAAAGACTGTCCTAGGGTGGCTTCCTAATTACCTCCAAAACCAGACATCACCAAGAATAAAATGGGTTGCTATGAATAACCACAGAGACTCTGTGTAAAGCCAGACATTCTTGGGCAAGTGTTCACATGTGGTTGCCCTCACCACTCTACTGCACAAGGCCCTAGGAGGAGACAGTGCAGCCAAGGGGCCCAAGGTTTGCTCCCTGTGTGCAGAGGGAGTTCTGTAAGGCCGTGATTCTACCTGAACAAAAGTGCTGTTGGAGGACTGGGTACTGGCTCTACTCCAGCTATGTGCATGTGTGCCCTGAGTGTCCTTTATGCTCAAGTTCTGCAGCAAAGGAACAAGGGTATCTAGTGTCTGTGCACTAGGTGAACTGGATGAAAATAAGCAACACTAGAAAAGCTGAGGAGATTCAGAGAGAGGTGGAAGACTGAGCAGCAGTTGGTGCTGGCCCTGTCTTCTCTAGCAGGGAACAGGAAGCAGAAAGCCTTCCCCCTGGAGGTAGGTACTTCTTTTGATTGGACATATCTGGGCTCTGCTTTCACTTCTCAAATTGCTCTGAGTAGCCAGAGATAGTGACATACATCTACAATCCCAGCTACTCAGGAGATTGAAGCAAGACTGCAAGTTCAAGGTCAGCCTAGGTAACTTACTGAGGCCTGTCTCAAGATAAAAAGGGCTGGGGGATGTAGCTTAGTGGTAAGTACACCTGAATTCAACCCCTACTACCCAAAACAACAATAAAGCCCTGAGTCACTCTTGGGACCCAGACTCCAACTCTGCATGACCCTCCCTTCCCATGACCAGTATCTGTCCCTGATTGGTACTGATGTCTCCTTCAGGCAAGATACTCTGGCCCCTTGGCATTTCCTGCCTTCCAGGCTGTCACAGACAGCCTGGGCTTGACCCCTTCAGTGCCAAGTATCATGTACCCAGACTGGAATAATGTCCTGGGCAGAGGCTTGGGGCCCATTTCATCCCACAAGCACCCAGTTCACAGCCTTCCTGGCCTCATTCATCCATCCCCCTACTCATTCCCCTCATTCATTCTTCTCTCTGAATATATTCTTGCTTCTGACAATGGCTTAGCCTGACTTGTAAATCCTTTCAAGTCTAAAACAAGACCCCACAAAAACCCTCCTATGAGTGAGAACAAAGCCAGAGTCAAGGCTCAAGGCAGCAGCTGGTTATAGCAACACGCGATGATTAGGTTTCCCTCCCAGCAGTGGATGAGGATGAGCGGGGAAGCCCCTGAGCTCCATCCTGGACCCCAGGATCTTTGCAGTCTGGGATGACTTGGGCTGCAGAGACAATTTTCTTTCATCAATTTCATCTTTAAGGACCTTCAGTCCCTGTAGCACCCTGACTTCCCTTCAATAAGGTGCACTCACGACTTTCGTGTTTGGGGGACTCTGAAATTTGGGTTTAGAGATTGTGGGTGCTACCATCATTAAGGCCACATGGCAGCTTCAGTCTCATGGAGCCATGCAATAGTTCAAGATCAGGAGAGACTGTGAAGACAAACCAGCAGTATAGGTCAAGTATCCCTGAAACGCTCGGGATCAGAAATGTGTCACATTTCAGATTTTTCACAAACTTGCACAAACACAATGTCATATTTTGGGGACAGTACTCAAGTATAAACACAAAATCCACTATGTTTCATAAACCCCTCATACATTGCCTGAAGGTAATTTTATATAGTACTCTTAGTGTTCCTGCATTCCGAGTGCAACTTGTCAAATGAGCCAGCTGAGGAATTTTCCACTTGTGACGTCATGTTGATACTCAAAAAGTTTCTAATTTTGGAGTATTTTAGATTTGGGATTTTAAAATTAAGAATGCTCAACCTGTACAAGCATAACAAATATGAACAAGCATGGCTTTAACTGCAATGTATGGAGCATATTTCATAGGCGACAACAACAGAAAAACATAAGAGGCAGAATTGGGTCTGGATAGATGGAGGCAGCAATGTAAATTTGAAGTGTTCTGTACTGCTGAAGCCTCAAGAATCATCTGGTACTTCTAATGGCCTGGGGTGGTGGGGGGTAGGGGTGGGGTTGCCATAGTACACCTCCGTATCTACAGTCACGCTAAGCTGGTTTTAAATGCTACTGTGCCACATGGTAAGAGTGGGCTGCTTCCTTAGGTTCAAGTTCTCATCTGTAAAAATGGCATAATAAAAGCAACCACATCCCAAGGTCTTTCACATCTCTATAAATGTGGAGCAGAGTAACTTGCATAAATATCTAATAAATACTGTCTGTAGGAACCACCTCTGTCATCTTAGGTCTTGGGAGCAAGTTCAGAAGTATTTAGAATTTGCAAATCCTTTCTTTTTTCCCAATGGTGGGATTTAGCTCTGAGGGAGTGGGCTGGGAACACAGCAAGCATGAGAGGCAGAAAATGAGGCTGGAAAGCAGAGGCTGATAAGCCCTGGGTGCCCAGGGCTGCTTACCCATCTCCTGGTCCTCCTGCACCCGACGCCTCTCATCCGCACAGGCCTGCAGCCACTTTGCCTTGTCTTCCTGTTTTTTGGCACAGAACAGGTGAACCTCGTCTGTGGTCCTACTGACCAGCTTGAAGGCGTTTCTCACGTTGAGGTTCCAGTCCTTGTCCCGCCCATCCTCCACATCCACAAGCTCCATCTCGTCCATGTCCATGCGACCCTTGTAGTACAGCATGTCCCTGCGTAGCAGGTCCTTCTTGCAGGACACCAACTGATGGTCAAACAGGAAGAAGGTCCGCTGCTGGCTCTTGCCCTGCTTAGTGATTTTGGTCAATTCCCCTGAATGAATCAATTCTGAGCTTCGGTCTAGAATATCCAATCCCTGGAAGGATGAAAACACAGAAGGATGATCTTCTAATTCTGATTCCTTTGAGTCTTTGAGACACAGGCCTATAATTTCTCTTGGATTTTCCAGAGACGGGAATCCAGAGACCACCCACTGCCTGTCTGCACAGATAGGCAGGCAGGACCCCAGAAGTGATAGCTTCAGATCTCAAGTGATAGCTGAATGAGACTGATCCTTCAAGAATAAGGAAGCATCAAGGAGGTTTTTCCAGTACAGGGACACAGTGTGGTGCCACAGACTCCTGTAGGCTTTTGAGTCAGAAACATCACAGCTCCCTGACTTGTCTAGGGTCTTGGAAACAAAGGTCAGGCAGCAAATTGCCACTGAGAAATTAGTAAACTTCTGACACTAAATTATTCCCTAAATGCCAGTCCAAAATGAAAAAGAAAAACACTTTCACAATATTTAGGTTGGATCTAATCCAATGTTACTTTATAATATTTGGTATGACACTGGCCTTTGTTTTATAAGATTTTACTCTCCTTTAATCCCAGTCATACATAATATTTTTTTGGAGGCAAAAGAGCTTAACTCCAAAATAGTTCTTCTATTTACTTGCCTGAAGCAACTCTGTGCCCTAGATTCTTCACATACAAAATAAGGGAGTCTGAGGCCTGTCCAAGCTTCAAAAAAATCTAAAAAAGTCTTTGAAATGTAAGTATTTCTCTCTCACTTTCACCATTACAGTCTACTTCCATTAAACTTCTAACTCCTCACTCCAAACTCTCAATCCTCTGGGAGAATAAGTTCTTTTGACCAATGAATGGATGTAGGAAGAATTCTTCTTGGTCTAAAAACAATCTGAGTGTGGCTGGCTTATTCGTAGGAGCAGCAATATGGCACAGTGGTTACCAGCAAAGACTCTGCAGCCAGGTTGCCTGCTTGGTTTGAATTCTACTGTTTGTGTCCTCAGGCAAGACATTTAACCCTTCTGTGCTCCATTTCCTCCTCTGCTAATTGGGTGTAATAACATTATCTACTTTATAGGACTGCTAAGAGGATTAAATGAGTTCATAGATGTAACTGGCTTAGAACAGTGCCAGACATGAGGTAAATAAAATACAGGCTCTAACTATTGTCTCTATTTGCAAGCATACATGTATTTAACATAGGTATGTATAAACAAAAACAGCAGGCAAATTTTTTAGACGATTATTATTGGCTAAAACAGACAGTACATTTGTACTGTATTATATAATGCCCACAGTGGCATATGGGGTAAGTAATAATTTCCTTCTCAACTTAGGAATCAACATGCCTCAAAATACACGGACCATTAACAGTAATGTATATCATTAAAGCCAAAAACAAAGTGTCAATCGCAGGATGTTCAAGTATATCATCACCAGGTCAAAGGTGCAGGAAAGGGTGGAGGGGCATTGTGTGTGTGTGTGTGTGTGTGTGTGTGTGTGTGTGTGTGTGTGATGGTCCACTTACCTCCCAGCCCACAATGGACACTTGCCAGCGAGCAATCTTGTCGACGCTCTCCAGCTTGCGTTTACGCTCATTTATCAAACAGGCCACATTCTTCATGGCCTCATAGGCTGCCTTTATATTGTTGTAATCACTGCAAAATGGGAAGTTAATTTCAATCACATAACACACAACTCACAAATGAGGACTGACAAAATAATGCTCTGGATCCCTGATTTGTACACTAATAGTCTAGACAAAGTGGCATTTAAATAACAGCCATTGTTCCCTTCTCCTTGTTTCCCCATGAATAGACTACAGTTTGCATAGGTTAAGGAAGCTGACGGAATGCAATTCAGAATTCTTTGGAATAAGAATGTTTTCATTCACTTCCCAGAAATCACAATGAATGAAAATAAATGCCACAAGAAAACTAAGTTTTGGTCATGGTGACTAGGGGTTATTTTTGATAATATAGAAAGAATGGTCTTCATTATTGCTTTGATTTTGACATAGCCAGTTCTGCTATACAAAGTACTTTAAAAATCACTCTAACCATTTCAAGAGGACTGTTGCACCAAGTCTTCTCTTTCCCCTGTTCAGGAAGGGCCATGAGAGGATACAAGCCACAGTCTTAAGTGAGGAATTATGTCTGTGCTCACAGAACCTTTACCTCACCAGTAGGTCTTCATTTAGAAAACACTAAAAAGTGTTTTCTGGATGCTGCAGCCAAACTAAAATAACCCCCTAGCTAGCCCTCATCCCCATGCCTCTAAAACCATAAGTACTGAAAACACTGAAACCGCAGTTCTAATCTACACAGGATGCAACACGGCGGTGTCTGAAAGTGTCACAGTCAGGTTTAGCTTAGCGTTGATGATCTGGGGATATGTAAACCAACCATCCAGCTGACGGCTGAACTTTTCAGTCTCTTATGGTGACTAGCAGGACAGACCCAGCCACAGGGTTAACTCAAATGGACTGAATTAGAATCCTCCTGCACAGCCAGGGAGAAAAGCCTTGAAAGTAGATGCTGCTGTCTATCTACCAAACACAGCGAAACTCCATTCATTTACTGATCAGGCTGTGGGTCGATTCCATAATTCAGCTATTGTGAATTGTGCTGCTATAAACATTATGTGACTGCACTGCTATGATATGTCAGTTTTAGATGTTTTTTGGAAATACCAACATTTGCCATAAAGCAGATCTCACTGTCTTTACACAGGACTATTCCCACAGAAGCAGAGCAGAAAAGAGGAACAAAAATGATACATGGGGGCTGTCAAAATAACAGGAGTGAATGCTCCAGAGAGGTCTTTAGAAAAAAGGTGCAAAGTAAAATTTTTGGTACAATCCTAGRAAAAAAAAAAAGTAGAATATAAGGCTTCTCTTTTTCTTTAGAATTTTTGCTCTGTTTTACTTAAGACAAAGAAATGGGCTTTTTGCCATTTTATTTCATATATTTTGTTAATCTGTTTCATATATATACGTGTGTGTGTGTGTGTGTACGAACAGTTCATATATATATTTATAAATTATTTTGAGGCTCTAAGCAACTTAAGCAAGATACTGTCTCATAATAAAAAATAAAACATCTGGGACATAGCTCAGTGATAAAGTGCCCTGGGTTCAATCCCCAGTGCAAAAGAGGAAAAGAAAAAGAAGTCACTGTTGAAGAGTGGTGTGAACTTGGACTACAACTTCTCTACCTTGGAATGCAGTAAGCTGCCTGTGCATGTTTTTCAAGGAGGCTTTGCTTCTGAATTATCTATTTTCTCTAGCTCCTTGTCACGATGCCTGTTCATTCTTTTAAAAAACACTTCCACAAATTAGTGGCTCTCTCTTGACATCCAAGTTTGTGTTTCCTACTGAACTTTTCTGACTTTTCCACTGGAGACAGAAAGATACATGTGCTTACACACACACACACACTTTGGTTCTAATTCTTTAAACTAGGTCTAGTATCTAGGCCTAGTGTTCAGTGGCCATCTCTTACTCTTCACCTTCCAATCTATTTATCATAAAAGCTTCCCTTTTTAAGTCTGGTCTCTCCAAGAGTTCAGAGGCAGAGAAGGCAAAAGAATGATTTGCACTCTATACCCTGCAGGTTGGTACAGTGATCCTCCTTATCCAGGTTAATCAGTCCTTCCTTATCTAGTTGTTTTCAGTGGTTTCAGTTCCCCATGGTCAACCTTACTCTGAAAACATTAAATGGAAAAATCCAGAAATAATTCATAAGCTTTAGGTAACTTTTATTATAGTATTTTTGTTAGAACTATTTTGTTATTGTTGTTGTTAATCTCCTACTGTGCCTCATTTATATATGAAACTTTTTCAGATATATAGATACAGGAAAGAACATAGTCTATGCATCCATGTAGGGTTCAGTAGTATCTGTGGTTTTAGGTATCCATAGAGGTTTCTGGAATGTCTCCCTCTCAGATACAGGGCGACCACTATAGTCACACCTGTCTACTTAACCAATGAATTCATTAACTACTACAAAAAAATATTCATCCAGTATTTCTAAATGGTAAGAAATAACAATATAGTAAAAACCTGCACACACTCATGACACAGTTTAAGAATTACCCTTATGTTTTTATATCTCTAAAAATGCCTATTCTGGAGCCTCTTCAAATAACCCTATAAGGCTTCTTCTTTTTTTTTTCTTTAGAATTTTCAATAGTTGACAGTCATAAACATAACTAACCCTTACCCTAAAAACCAACAGCTCTAAAGATTGCCATTTATATCCATCTGTCCCAGTCACTGCAGAAASACTGGGTAGGCACAGGTTCAGGGCAACGCCATCTCTGCCCATCTGCCCTGAAGGTCCCATGGCAGCTCCCTCACCTGTGCTCCTGCGTGGTGTACTTGAGCAGCTCTGCCAGCTGCAGAGGATATTTGCAGATCTTCTGCACTGGCGTGAGGAGGAACCCATCCAAGGCAATGTCAATCATCTGCTGGAGCAGGCGGCAAGCTTCGAAGAAGTGCCTGTACTTGCCCTGCTTCATGAGGTTGGAGAGCTCCACACAGGCTCCTGGGTGGTTGTTGCAATACTCTGAATAGATGGCAAAGCCCTCTTGCTGGAGGGGGAAAGCAGCCTTATCAGGTTATGGGTGACTCTGGGTCATCTAAGGGGACACTCCTAAAAAGGAGGAAGGATCACTGCAGCAAGGACAGGTCATGAGACACAAGGTGATCCACGCCATTGTGTAGTGGCTTCCACACCTGGGCAAYAGCAATGGGCACTGGCAAAGGCTCTGGCTTCTGTCATGGAAAGATGGAAGAGCAGGACCTCTGCCATCCCCTCTTCATCTAGCTTGGATTTGTAGGTGAAGTGGCAGAGAAAAAAGTGTTGCCGGAAACCCGATTCTCTCTAGCCAGCTCCTCTTTACTTCTCTGATAAGATCTTTTTATTTTTGAGGGGTACTGGGGATTGAACCCATGAATGCTTTACCTCTGAGCTATACCTATAACTCACCCAAGTCTTTTTAAATGAGACAGGTTCTCGCCAAATTGTTCAAGCTAGTCTTGATCTTGAGACCTCCTATTTCAGCCTCTGGAGTTGAGAGGATTAGAGGTATGCTTCCTGGTGCCTGGCTCACTGATAAACTCTTTGACTCCATGCCTCCTTCACCTCCTCCCCACAATTCTGCCTACTTCTCCCAGGCCTGATTTTCATACATGTCACTCTCCTGTCTCAAGAAAGACCATCAAGACCATCTACCTTTCTGGATTTCAGAGCTGCATTCTTCCCTTTCTCCCTCTCTGTATTGTGGGCTCCTTCCCTTCCTCCACCCTTTTGGGTCAACAAGGTATCTGCATTCCAGGCCCTGTCCCTGGGCATTGCTCCACGTCCCTGAATGCTGCCTTTCCTTGACCCTCAGCCACTGGGCCGTACACTCACACGTGTCCAGCCCCCACCAGAGCTGCTTTTCCTTCCTTCCCATGCCTGGCCCTGCCCTGCTGGATGGCAGAGGCTTGAGTGTGCTCAAACACAGAATGTCAAACTAAGCTCCTATTTCCCTAGAAAACAGATTTTCCTAAGCTACTTGTTAATTTTTGAGACTCAAAACCCTGTAAGGCAGTTCTGACTATTGTTTTTGTTTGTTTGTTTGTTTGTTTGTTTTGTCACCTATAACCACTTGTCACACTTTCCTCAAAAATACCCCTTCTGACAAATCTCTTTTCCCATCTCCCAGTCCCTCACCAGTACCCTCCCTGGTGGCAGCAGCAATTCTCTCTAGCCCTCAGGACACTCACTAGCCTGCTCTCCTGTTGATTCCCTCACCTCTGAAGCCTCTCTGACTTCTCCTCTACAAGGACCTGCTACTCTGACCTCACAGCTCTATTATAATGCCCTAGATATGCTCCAGGTACCTAGAGGGCCCATCTTCACACCAAAACATGATGATCAGCGATTTAAGGTCTACCCACCCTGAGGGAACAGCTCAAAAGCTCTCAGGCCCAGAACCCAAGAACTGAAAAAGTGGTGTTGCTGTCACTAACATTATTACTATGATTACTCCCTGACTATTTTGGCTGGAAATAAAATGGTCTTTTCCTGAAATCTTAGTATATAAAATAATAATAGTCAATCACTGGTAAATAATGATAAACTCATGTCACTGTTAGTGGAATGTTTTGAAACAATCACAATGTCACATGCCAACTACTTAGTAATGTGTGACCTTGGGTCACTTACTCWCTGGGCCTTGGTTTCCTCATCTGTAAAATGGGGAAGATAATCATTTCAACCTAATGAATGTAGAGGAGCCAATGAGAAACCTCGGAAAACAGTGCTTGAAACATAACAGACACTTAATGGATACTATTACTCCACATATAATCCCAAACTGAACAAAAAGATATTGAAAAAATTGCCTTGGGGTATTGAGAAACCACCCAACCTAATTTTACAAGTGACATCTCTATTCTATGGAAAATTAATCAAGCAAACAATTACAGCAACAAACCAAAATAAAGAAAAAAGACTCCTATTTTTAGTGGAGTCTCATTTCAAAATTATTATTTAACCAGATGTTATTAGTAAAGAAGCATCAGTAACATACATGCTGAAGGAAGCAGGATCCTATTTCACTTAAGTGAGGTTCCTCTTTGTTATACTGTTTCTCAAGGTCTTTCAGGAACTTTCTTTGGAACTTGTAAATGTCTTCAATGTTTCCAAAAATAGTGGCTAGCTGTGCAACAGTGAACATTCCCGTGTGCTTGCGGCACTGTCGAATATAGCCCTGCAAAATACAAAAGCAACCTTTTTTATTTGAAAGGTCAAAGAAATGCAATGCTGAGGATCAAACCCCAGGCCTAATACAGGCTGGGAAAGTGCTCAACAACTGAGTATATCCCCACCCCAGCATAAATATTTAGGGGAAAAATAAAAAAACACAAAAAGAAAAGTGAAAAGTTTCATGTGGTTGGATTTAAAGCTTCCAGAAACTAGTTTCAAATACCAGAACTTAAAAATTAGTACTGTCACACTAATCTAAATTCTTAAAGACAATCATTCTCCCATCCCTAATTCTATTGCACAGCTGAGAACCTTTGTCAAACATGGAATGTGACTGCTTACTGAATAGCTAATGCAGCTCTGCTCATTGTCAATCATGGCAAGACGCCAAGGACATCTAACACAAGGATTCCACTTTCACTATACAGCAAAAATGTGTACAACTTTAATCAGAGGACTGCCCTAACTAAGAGTGCTAATTAATTTTCTTACTCTACCTCTGAACCACAACCACAGTCCCAAAACTGACCTTTAAATAAAATACATACCACTTACTTTTGGTATGAATTTTAACAGGATAGTAACACAATGCAATAGTTCAGAGTGCAGGCTCTGGGACAGACTGCCTAGGTTTAAATCCCAATTCTACCACTTTACTTTCTTGCCTCAGTTTCCTTATCTGCATTAGGGGGCTAACAGGATTGCCCAATAAAAATGGTTAGTAACTAAGTTAATCCAGGCAAAGAAATGGAGCATGATAAATATTTGACAATGATTAGCAGTTATTCTGATTTTCCTAAAATGCCATTTTATTTTTTGTGACTTTTTTTTTTTTTAATCAGAGCTTTACAGTTACACATAGTAATTGGGTGCATCCCAACAAGTTCATACATGCATAGGATTTGATTTCAGTTCATGATCTCCCTTTTTACTCTTCTCCTCCCCTCCCTTCTTCTCCTTCAGACTTTCTTTCATTTATCTATTTATATTTGATTGGTTCCTTATGTAATCTTATCCTTCTCTGCCCCTTTCCTTTATTTTACTCTAGTTACTGCATATGAAGGAAAACATTTGACCTTTGAGTTTCTGAATTTGACTAATTTCACTTAGCAAGATATTCTCCATTTCCATCCATTTATTGGCAAATGCCATTATCGCATTCTTTGTTATGGCTGAGTAGAATTCCATTGTATACATACACCACAATTTCTTTTTTTTTTTTTTTTTTTTGTAGTGGGAATTGAACTCAGGGGCACTCAACCACTGAGCCACATCCCCAGCCCTATTTGTATTTTATTCAGTGACAGGGTCTCGTTGAGTTGCTTAGCACCTCACTTTTGCCGAGGCTGGCTTTGAACTCAAGATCCTCCGGTCTCAGCCTCCCCAAACGCTGGCATTACAGGTGTGAGCCACCATGCCTGAACACAATTTCTTAATCAGTTCATTTACTGATAAGGCTATGGGTTGATTCCATAATTTAGCTATTGTGAATTGTGTTGCTATAAACATTGGGTGGCTGTATTGCTGTAATATGTCAGTTTTAGATCTTTTTGAAAAATACCAAGGAGTGGGATAGCTGAGTCATATGGTGGTCTTTATATGTCACTTTAAGGACACTTCATTCACCACACATTGACACAGAATAAGAAGGTTGGCACAAGTAAGCAAAATATCAGTAGGTCCATGTGGCAGATTGTCTAAGTACAGAATGGACAGTACTTTGCCTTAGCTTGTCTCTAGTGCTGAATGGTCACAGTTGAATTGATAGTGCAGATCTCAGCATTCACAGCTAGGACAGCCGGAATGATCAGACCTGGCAGGCCAGAGCTCAGCAGAATACTCAGTCAAGGTCTACAAGACACACAGCAATAGGGGAGAAAGGAGCCTTGCAGACTCACATCTGCTAAAGTTCAGTTCTCTGAAATTAGGACAAGAACATAAAATAAATGATTGCTGAGGAGAATATCATGACACCATAAAATATAGTCTAGGATAAAGCTTAAAATTTTTTTCATCTATATCTAACGACTCTGAATTTCATCTATGAGTCAGTGATTATACACTGGGGGCTTGGAGAAAGTGACAACCTTCAACTGTAAAGTCAAGTGGGTTCTGAAGAAGTCAATCACTTTAAATACTCCCAGGAGTTAAGTCCTGAGGGAAAAAGTTGCAAAGTGCCCTTTAAAGAGGACTGGCTACTCAGAAGGCTGAGACAAGAGAGTCCCTTGAGCCCAGGAGTTGGAGGCAAGCCTGGGCAATGCAGCAAGACCCCATCTCTGTGTATACATAGATTCATTTATATATGTATGCGAATAAATAAGGACTGGCTGCAAGAGCAGGTAAAACAACCACAGCCCATTAAACTCAGCAATGTAAATAGTAGGTGTTTAATGGATCTGGGCAGGGGCTAGATGGGCAGGAGCAGAGGCAAGGAGAAATGAGAAGTATAGGAAAGTGTGCTTGTAAGGAGGAAGTGGGGTCGTGTCCTGCAACCATGGGCTCTGACCTACAGCAAGGCCCTGGGGCCTGCACCTTACCTCACAGATGTCCTTGAGGTGTTTGATGTACACCCGTTCAGTGTTCATGATCTCCTGGATGACATTTGTCCGCATCTGGTGCTTGTTCTCAGAGTGCTTGTGGTGGCTTGTGTTGGTATCCTCCTCCTGCTCCTCACCATGGGTACCGCTAGAATTCTCAGACAGCTCTTCCTGATTGACTCGAAGCTGCAGTGCACACACACGTGACAGGTGATGTGAGGAAGGAGGAGGTGAAGACTTCATGGCTTCCCACTTGTCTGTGACCAGTTATCAGAGTGGCCTGGCCCTAGCTTCCATCTTTATGGCCTTAGCAGAGCCACAGCCCTGCCTACACACTCCAAGAAATAGCAGGATTGCCAAATAATTTGTTTACCTTCATTAAATTTTTTATTTGGACTAAACTGATTTCTTATAGGTTTGACTGGTACGTGGGACCGAAACAAAAAATTACCAAAGAACTAGACCTGAATAAGGGGGAGATCTGCCTGAAAGGAGTCTGCTGTTCCACCTCAGATACTTCCCAAAGCACAAAGGGCCACACACTTACTCTGACAAAGCTTGCAGGGAACCAGGCCTCCTTATCCTCGTTCCGGCCCCACCACCAGTCTTTGTTCGAGGCTTCCAGGACCTGGATGACATCCCCGGCCTTGAAGCCCAGTTCCTGGTCATCCATGGTCACATGGTCCCAGAGAGCTTCTGCGCAGACCACGCTGCCATCGCTGATCAGCTGGAACAGAGACAGGACAGGCTTCATGTTGAGATCGGGCAGGAACAAGGGAGCTGCTGTATGGGCTCTATCTTGGTGACCCTGACCTCTCCTAGTTCTTGTTCAGACACCTGGTGACGTCCAGTCAATCCTTACTTTCACTGGTTATACAAAAATCAATAGAGGAAAACATATTGGGGGGAAAAGTACCAGGTGGGCATCTCCAACCTGTTCTTAAAAGAAAATCCAAACCCACTTTTTTTAATTTACTTTTTTTAGTTATACATGACACAATATCTACGTTTATTCATTTTCATGTGGTGCTGAGGATTGAGCCTAGCACCTCACACGTGTGAGGCAAATGCTCTGCCACTAAGCCACATAACCCCAGCCCCCAAATCCACTTTTAAAAGATGTACAGATGCCGCTTGATTTATAATGGGGTTACCTCCGCATAAGCTCGTTGTAAATTAAAAATATCCTACATCCAAAATGCATTTAATACCCCTAACCTACCTTACATCACAGCGTAGCCTGCCCTAACATAAACATGCTCAGAACACTCCTGTTAGTCTATAGTTGGGCAAAATCATCTAACAAACCCTTTTATGATATGTTAAATAGCTCCGGTAATACACAGAACACTGTAAAATGAAAGTGAAAAAGAATGGATGGAGGGATGGATGGAGGGATGGAATGAATTGTTAGCCTGAAAAGAGCAGAACTCAAAATTGAAAGTATATTTCTACTGAATACATGAGTATTGCTTTCACATCATGGTAAAATAAAAAAAGGCTGAAACATTGTAAATTGGGGACTGTATAAACAGCTCACTTAGCTCTAGGTCAGTTAACTAAAAACCTTGAATATCTGGAATATTTGGTTTCTGCAGATGTTGGAGCCTAGCATCCTAATGTTAGTTGTACGTGTTAATGGAAGTCCTGCACATGTTATCCCAGAGGTGTGTTACTCATACTAATTCCCAATTCGATATTCAACTTTATAGTTTACTACAATTAAAGACAATGGCTTGATCTTGGGATATTTAACAGTTATTGAAAAAGTCAAGAACAGACATGGCTCATTCACTGGGAAGAGTTGATTCTGTCTCCCCTTGGCTCTTACAGACAAAAAGGCCTGTGACCAGCAGTGATTCAGATTTCTGAGTTTTCTGGATTTTGGAACATTTGCATAGTCTTTACTGGTTGATAATTCTAATCCAAAAATCCAAAATCTTAAGCTTTTTGAATGTCACGTTATTGCTTAAAGAGCTTCAGATTTGGGGGGTTAAGTTTAGGGATACTTGGCTTATATCATGTTTAGAATAATGACAGGAGATCTCAGTAGGGAGGCTAACAGACCTCAGTTACACTCCGCACACTCGCCTTAAGAGTATTCAAAGATTGAGGTGCCTGCCTTCTAGAAAAATTTCTGTAAAAAGAACTAAAGCTGCAAAGTGGTAGAAAGAACATCAGATTGGGAGTGAGAATCACATGATTAATTACAGCTCTACCATTTGCTACCAAGTCCATTTCAGGGCATGACTAATGTTAACTTTTACATTTTAGATTGCAGTTGAGAATTACATGAGCCAATGTACTTGGCTCATGGGAGTGCATTTCATAAACTAAAAAGCAAGACTTGAGTGCTAATGATTGCTGCTCTAATTACTTAAAGGATAAGCTTCAGTTCCTTGGAAAGCTTGATCACAGACATTTTTCTGGACAATGCAAAAAACCACAGTGTTGTTCTTGTATATGCATGGTTTTGGGTTTTTTTTTTTTTTGTATATTTTGTTTGCTTGCTTTTTTTTTTTTTTCCCAGTGCTAGATATTGAACCTAAGGCCTCATTTATGCTCTACCATTGAGCTACCCCTCCAGCCAATTTTTTCAGAGCTGGGGACTAAACCCAGGGCTCCGTACATGCTAGGCCAAGTGTTCTACCACCAAACTACACCCCTATCCCCAAAATGGGAATCAGAGTTCTAGGGTTTAGAAAATGCTTAGCAAAAAATAATCAGATAGCAACCTCTGAAGTAGTTCTGGACCCTGCAAATCCAGTGTCCAATAAATGTCATTGTTGTGTGGATTTCTGGTACCTCATTAATGGCCAGCTGTTCCCCGCCTGGCTGTAGATACCGAGGATTGGCCTGACAGAGTTCTTCATAGCTGAAGTCCTCCTCGCTACCGTTGTCATCGACTAAGGCAGAGGACTCAGTACCTCCATCTGAAGAAACTAGAGAAAGAGAGAGGAAGGGCATGGTTGAAAAGGCACAGATAATAACAAAATAAAATGAAACAAAAGAAAGCACAGATAACAAGTTTTTTCATATGACAAAATAAACTACCTTTGATAACATACTCCTCAGAGAAAATTATCAGTTTCATCTTACTCAAATAAGAAATCATTAGAAAACATCTACTGACATATTGATTAATCCAGAAGTAGCAACTGATTCTGAGGAGCTGGAGTCAGGGGTTCTGTTAAGTGAGAAGTGGGACATTTCAGAGAGCACTGCTAATACAATTATTTTGTGAGCTAAGGTAAACTATGTGTGATTTAGTTGAAAATTTATGCCTCAAAACAGAAAAATACAGATATAATGTTTCTAAGCAATATGGTGATAGACTAGAGGAAGTAAAGAAACTGAAAATTATGATCACTTTTAAAAAAGTATTCTGCTTCCATCTGCAAGGCAATAGTACTATTAAATCCCCAGGTCCACTCTTACTATTGTCCACAGATGAAAAGGACTGGAACTCTCAGAATTAGGAATTACATGGTATCTTTACTACAAGAGACAGGTCTTTTATGCATTCATTTATTCTGTGTACTGGAGACTGAGCTCAGGCTAGGCAAGCACTCTGCCACTCAGCTACATCCCCAATCCTTCTTATCTTTAATTTTGAGAGAGGGTCTCACTAAGCTGCCCAGTCTCGCTTCTAACTTATCATCCTGCCTCAGCCTCCTGTGTTGCTGAGATTACAGGCATGCACCACCCTGCCTGGGTGAGACAGACCTTTTAAGGATACATGTAGAATTTTTGGTTTCATTACCTTGCTATCAAGATTTTCTATATTGGGACAAAGGCTTTCTCTCACCAATGCTAACTAATCATCTGTCACTGAATGGAGATGTTTCTTCTTTGAGATTGATAGCCTTGGACCTTCTGTACAAGCTGAGGGATGTCTCCATCACTATTTTCTGTAATGGGATGAGTAGCAGGTGCTGGGCAAAGGATAGTCCTTGACTTTAGCAGACCAGGGACATTACTCTGGTAAGCTAGGGTAGAGTTTCAGGAAGAAGGTAATAAAACAGAAAAACAGAAGCAGTGGCTATCTATTCATGATACTCAGATGGCTTTTTTTTTAATTGGTTGTTCAAAACATTACAAAGCTCATGACATATCATCTTCCATACATTTGATTCAAGTGGGTTATGAACTCCCATTTTTCACCCCAAATACAAGTTGCAGAATCACATCRGTTACACATCCACATTTTTACATAATACCATATTAATGACTGTTGTATTCTGCTACCTTTCCTATCCCCTACTATCCCCCCTCCCCTTCCCTCTCATCTTCCCTCTCTACCCCATCTGCTGTTGTTTAATTCTCTCCCTTGGTTTTTTTCCCTCTTTCCCCTCACAAGTTCTTATATGTAATTTTGTGTAACAATGAGGGTTTCCTTCCATTTCCATACAGCTTCCCTTCTCTCTCCCTTTCTCTCCCCCCACTCGTCTCTGTTTAATCTTTCCCTCATGCCTCAGATGGCTTTTGACTGAGAGCAAAAGAGTGGAATCTAAAGCACATGCTACACAGACAGTAGTATAGAAGTTCTCCTATTATCTGCAGTTCCATTTTCCCAGGTCATGGTCAACCACAGTCCAAAAATATTAAATGAAAAATTCCAGAAAAACAATTCATGTTTTATAATATTACAATATACAATGGTTCTATTTTATTATTTGTCATTATTGTTGATCTCTTATGATGCCTAATTTATAAATTAAACTTTCTCATAGGTATGCATATATAAGGAGAAAACATAGTTTGGTACTACCCGTGATTTCAGGGATCCACTGGGGGTCTTGGAAATTATCCCCCATGGTATTCACTCATGCATGGAATGACAGATGAGACTGAAAAGTGAGGGGGCAGGGTGAGAGGGGCTCACTGTGGAGGCTCTCAAGGACTAAAGCCAGCCATGGGGCCTTTTCTTAGGGTTGAGCCAGGGAATGACAGCTTTTGAGTAGAGGTCTGCTGATGTTGTAGAGAGAGGAGATACTAGTTTTGCTGAGGTGTGGGCTAAGTTCCAGCCCTAACCCTCTACAGGCATGGTCCTGGACCTGAGCAACTCATCTCTCTGAGTTTCACACACTTCTTTTTGAAGAATGTAGTGACAGAACATGTGTCAACCTCCTAGCATCATTGATGAGCAGCTGGGGCTTGGCAAGAGTTATTACGGTGATCGCACTGAAGGTGACAAGGGCTGGGTAAATAACAACTTTGCTATAATGTGAAGGAAGGACTGGAGGAGGGGGAGGAGAATGAAGCCAGAGCAACCAGCTGGGAGAAATGAGATTAGAAGGAGCCAGTGGCAACAAGATGAAGGACTGGGGAAAGGACTGTGGGGACTGAAGTCCAAGGATGATGGAGAGGTTAAGCTCAAGCTTGGAGAGAGAAAGAGGATGAAGTCAACATGATTTCAGAAAACCCCAAGCTCCTACGAGGATTTAAAAAAGGAATACCAGAGGAAGAAAACCAGTGCAGAAGGAAGGAGGAAGGGCTAGACAGGTCAGAGCATGGCTGTGCTCTGCTGGACTTTGGACTTGCAAATCGACATTTCTACTAACTTCACTCTCTGTGAACAAGCCTATTTTCTATACTGAAGAACTTTTTTAACTTTTTATATGCTGCTAAATCCAAGGTGCATTTTCTATTCCCAGCCCATCACAGCTGGATGGATACATCCCAGGAGCTTTGCAGACCCACATGTAGCCTTGGACCATCCCAGGACCTCCTCCCTGCATCCTACCTGCCTCAGTCCTCTCCTTCCCTCAACACTGTGGCTGTGTGGTAGAGAGTAATGGATTTTTAAGCAAAACCTCAAATTCTTACACTAAAAATAGGAAAAATTACTGAAGGAGTTTGCAACAATGGGGGTTATAAACACTCTGAAAGTTAACCACATGAACTGTATTTCATGTGCTGGATTCTTAGATTTTCCTCTCCAAATACAGATAGGATAAAGATTATGATAAAGAATTCAAGCTGGAAAAGCAGAGGCACCATGCTCACAAAGCAGATGGTGGGTAGACAGAGCCGTGACTGAGTGGTTACTTGGCCAGCTTGGGCCTTTCCCAGCCTGGCCCTAGCCACTCCTTTCACACTCTGCTCCAGCTACTTTCCCACTGGTTGCCCCTGTCCTGTGTGCCCAAGCTTTGAACACAGTGTTAGGGGCACTCTACCCAGACACGTCTACTGATGAGCCCATGCTTTTTAACTGCTTTTCCCACTGCAGGATGCCCCTGCCACCTGGAAATCCCTCAACATAGCTGCAGTCACCTCCTTTCCAGAGCCCTATAGTGAGCCCAGGGTGAGCCAGCTGTACCCACTGGTCTGCACACCTATGCCCCTGGAGTGTAACTGCCTAGGCTGGTGCACTGAATACAGAAAAGTCAGTGAACCCTGGATGAACTAATGATGCTACTGGCCCCGTTCCAGCTCTCCGTAGGGACCAAGTTGGGGTTCTAGGCAGGTGCATGGTGCCCAGCATCTTTTCCCCACCTCAACCCCCCACTCCTGTTCCCATCCCTAATCTTACCCAGGGACTGGGGAGTGAAACTGAAAGGGAATGCCTCAGACATGGGGCTGCAGAGAAAGGTATGTTCCTGGATCTGAGCACAAAAACGGGAAGCTCTCCAGAGCCTTGGCTGGGCCCTGGCTTCTCCCTGCTTCACCAAGGGAGAGAGGACAGCACTGTCAGGGGCACAGCAGGGTCAGTGGAACTCCAGGAGAAGCGCAGGAGGACAAAGGCAGGGAACCTGCTCTGTGTGTGTCTCTTGAACCAGTAAGTGGCAAGGAATGACACCACCTAGCAGGACCCACCTTCCATTCTCCCCTCCCCCTCTTTCTTATTGGAACTTCTCACCCCAGGGAGTGCAGGGCTGGTGGTGGTTCTGCAGTCTGATTCTGGGTGTGTGTGTGGGTGAGAGAAACATACTCAAGCCTGTACCAAGCACAGGGACGGGCTCCTTTGTAAATGTGTAACTTCCGCTTTCTCCCCTGAGGTCAGAACTGGAGGTTATCTTGGGCTGGGATTGTGGCTCAGGGGTAGAGCGCTTGCCTAGCACGGGTTTGATCCTCAGCACCACATAAAAATAGAGGCATTGTGTTAAAAAAAAAATGTTTAAAAAAAAAAAAAAAGAACTGGAGGTTACCTTGACTAGTGCACTTTCCTGGGTATGTGTTTTAGGAGGCTAGGGGAAGAAAGTTTTGGGAAGCAAGTAAAATTTTTTTCCACGCACAAGTATGTCTTAGACTAAAAAAGAGATAGCACTAAAGCTAAAAGCCTCCTCCAATCCTGGCAGCTTCCCAGACAGAAAGGTCCAGTGACTACCTTTAATGTCTGAAATGTTCTAGGGCTCCAGGCTGAGCACAATATATACAAAACCAAGGTTGTAAGAGGCCCAAAGCCGCAGGAATCTTCAGATGTCGGCCAACAGTGATCTGGCACTGCCTGGAACCAACAGCATTTTTCCTTATCACATTTCAGCTGCAGTTGAGCAAAAAAAAAAAAGAAAGAATAAAAGAAAGGAAGGAAGGAAGGAAGGAAGGAAGGAAGGAAGGGAGGGAGGGAGGGAGGGAGGGAGGGAGGGAGGGAGGGAGGGAGGGGGGGGAGGGAAGGAGGAAGAAGAGGAAGAGTAGAAGCAGCTCAGTAAAAATAGAGGTGTCTGGGTCTCCCACCCAGAGCAGAGCCCTGATAATTGCACTTTCTCCCTCAAAAAACCACCAAACAATATCTGCCCAGGGAGGGTCCTACCATGTAATCTGACTGTTGTTGTGAAAATTAGTAAAAGTAATGATCGTGCACAATCCACAATTTAAACAAGTCTAATGAGAAGGAGAACCCATGGAAGAAGTGTTCAACTTTACAGGAGATATGAGAATGGAACCCTCTGGACATGGACCTGGAACACTGAAACCTCTGAGCTGCTACCATAAACACAGG